CAGACAGTGTGTGTGTGAAGAGATGTAGAATAGAGCAGCTTCGCTCTTAGCGACGTTGATTTTTAGGCTGTGCTCGGCAGCCCATGTGGCCACAAGAGACAAGAGCGGTCGCATTGCCGCAGCACAGGCATGGATGTCCGCACCTGAGGCAACAAGTGTGTGTTCGTCAGCGTAAATGAATGCGGAGGCAGAATAGATGCTGTCCATGCGGCGCAGCAGGTCATCCACACAGTAAAGGAAGAGTTGGGGTCCCGGGACGCCGCCTTGCGGTGCTCCAGCTGAGGCGAGTTGTTTCCGGGAGTGCTGTTCGCGAGTGCATACCCCAACATAGCGGCCCCGCAGGTAGTTGTGCAGCCAGCGTTTGGTTCGAGGCCAAGGCGCGGAAGTCTGTCAAGCATGCCGAATAATTTCCCATGGTCAGAGTTGTCGAACGCAGTCGGAAAATCAATCAAAACTACGAGCGATGGCGACGAGGGCGTCGTGTGGGGGCGTCGTCTCCAGGGCGCTCATGCTCCACAATGCCAAACTCATTCAGTCCACGGGTAATTTGTCGATAACAAGTGCCACCACGTCCGACGTAGAACGCGGAGGTGCAAATCCGAAATTGACGTGGGTGGTGCGGCAATAACGCTGACAGACGGCGGTGAACCATTCCTTCGGTTAACTTTGGTAAAACAGAGAGCAGCGTGATGGGTCTGTAACTCTCTGGGCGGCATGGATCCTTCTCAGGTTTGGGATAGGAATGGTGTCCACCGTATTCCAGGAGCCAGGCAGGCTGCCATTTGCGAAGGAGTTGTGGATCATCGTTCTAAGTTTGCCACGCGCGACGGGCCCGAGACGGTGCAGGAATTCATTCAACATGTCGTCGGGGCCAGGGGCTGAGCCAAGCAAAGAGTCACGGATGGTCACGTCAAGTACATACGGCGGGAAAGGCCGATCCATTTCCCAGCCACCAGGAAACAAAGGAGTGCAGCGAGCAGCAGCAGCAGTATAAGGTAACGTGGCACGTGAAACTCGCACAAAATGACGGACAAGCAGATTTGCCTGTTTCCGAGGCAGGGCGCATACGCGGCCAAGTTCAGTGCGGAGCACAACCGATTCCAGAGGATGAGGGTGCGGCGCCGCCATGCCGTGAAGATATCGCCACCTCGGGCTGGGTGAGGCTCCAAGTCTTTTCGCGCGGGCCTCCAGAAGCACAGCGGAGCAACGGCGTAAGGCTTGATTTCGTTCCTCCCTTTTTTCGGGTACATTAGGCTCAAAGTAGGCTGTCTCTGGGTGAGGCAATGTGTGTGCTTCGTGTGCTGCTTCTGCGGCGGACTCGGCTTGTTCCATTTCGTGTGTCCATATCTTTTTGGAGCTGTCACGGCTGCCGCGCGGGATGTGGCACTCAGCTGCTCGCACGATACCTCTGCGAGGATCCAACCATGTGGACGCGGTGGCAAGGAGGGTTTCACACAACGAGGTGGAAGCAGGCCAACCCGCTTTACGCAGGGCAAGGGTGGCTTTCTTCCGCCGAGGCAGCGTGTTTGCTAGTCCTGGAGTGCCATCGTCCATCTCGACCAAGTAAGATATTCAGCAGTGGTCCGAGTCCATGTAAGGGGCGAATGTCCAGTGGGAGATGCGTAGGGCGCAATACGCAGCCACGTCAGGGGACGAGGCATTACGATGTGTGATCCGTGTTGCCTGTGTCGGGTCATTTGCCAGTCCAAAGTTCAAATCAATTAAAATAGCAACGAAGTTCTCTCCTCCAGTCCTTGATGGTATATATGACTGTCCCAGAGTTCACGATGCAAATTCGGGTCACCCGCGATAATCTCTTCGAGCCCAAGCGGCAAACGATATTAATAAATGCGGATTATTGACCAATTGCTGTGGGAGGGTTGTAGAGATTCGGCACGCAAATGCTGGAACAGCCCGGCGGAAATACACGGACAGCAATGGTCTCCAGGAGGTCAGTGCCAGGGAGCGACAGGCGCTCGCACGGTAGAGAGTGGCGCACCAGAACGGCAACACCACCACCGCGCCCAGTGAGGCCCGAAGGTAGTCATTATGGCCACATAATCTCGTCGCCACGCCACCACGGTTATTTATTTCCTGCAGAAGAACGATGTCAGGTGGACGCTGCTCCAATCGCGCCGCAAATGCAATATTTTTCACGGACGAGAGGCCTGCAATGTTGAGCTGCCAAACAGTGATGAAGCCATCCTCCTCGGTGCCAGGGTTCGTGTGGACGTCACCGCCACGGGTGACATCAACGGAGTGGCCGCTGCGAAACGGTCGTGCAGTTCTGACCAACAGTCTGCGGGCAGACCGCCTCCCCTCCCCGCACCGGGCATGGCTTGGAACCCTCTCGAGGGGTGGAGTCGTCTTGGTCTCCGTCGTGCTCGCAGCAACGCCCTGCTGCGGAGTTCCTACATGCAACCAGAGCCCAGCACCGCGAAAAGGTGCAACGTCATCGCTGGGGACCGTGGATACTCGCAACGAATAGCGGTGTTGACATTCCCACGTCAGCCGGTATTGGCATACTGCTCTCATCCCTGCATTCCTCGGAGATAATAGAGAATATCAGTACCAACGGCGGCGCACGCCCATGCAGCTACAGGACGGAGTCCCGTGCACTGCTCCCGGCCATGGAAAAGCTGAGTGTCCATCGTATCCAGCACAGACATAAAACCCTGCTTGTGGTTACAGACAGCCATTCCCTTCTAGCCGCCGTCACCAAGGGCCCGCGCAGTCAGACAGACTGGACGGAGGATCAGATCTGGCAGCGTGTCTTGTCGCTGATGCGTGCCGGCTGGTCCGTGCAGCTGCAGTTTTGCTACGGACATCGTGGAGTACACGTTAACGAGCCTGCAGATCAGCATGCGACGCAGAACACGGCAATCGGGCAACACACGGAGCATGGAATAGCACCTTTATGGCACACGGACCTGCTGTCATGCATTAACACCCAGCTCACCAACAAGTGGCGTAGTACCATGCATCAGGACACCCACCACTACCTGCTTGGCGGCGCCAGGCCATCAGATCCAGGCGGCAAGCACATAATCACTCAGGAGGCCCTCGACTGACAGGAACAGATACACACTGCACGGGAAGGGTGCGGGGAATCCGAGCTCTGGGGTCGCCTATACTTGGCCGTGAGAGATTGCACGAACCAACGCCGTTTCCGCAACATCTCACCGGAACAGTCTGCTTTCATGCGCTCCAACGACGATCCCACTGCACCGGGACGGAAGCTGTTCCCCCGACGGCAAGGGAGGCCGATGCACCGCCTGTGGAGAAACGGCCCTCCACACGCCGTCGGAAGGAGAAATGTCCGCACCGTGATTCTACATTGACGGGATTCTCGAATCTCGTCAGTCACTGTCGGTGCTTTCATCCGGAACACCCTCCACCGCTTCCCGACCTCCACCGCGATTGCTGCGACACGGTCCTCCCCGCACACAAAAAAAGGCACCGCACCGCACAGAAATCGCCGCGCACACAACCCAGACGCTACTCGGCACCGCAGCAGCAGTGCCAGGAGGCAATCACTGCTACCGCAGGATCAGCCAGCTTCCACAAGCAAAACAATTAGCCCGCAGAAAACACTGCACCATCTGCTTCTAGAATGTCCAGACGCTCTGGCTGTGCGCCAACGGCTGGGCATTAAGAAGGACCTTCGCACCGAAAGCTTCTCTCAATGGCAGCTGCCTCATAGCAGGAAACTCATGTCGCTGCTCGACCACCTCCTCGGCACCCTGATGACATCGTGTGGCTAGACATGTCGGTAAGAGCAGGGAAAAATAATAACAATGAGCATTCCCGCCACTATAGAGACGTGGTGCATCTTGCGATCCCGCTGGCGGCTCTCCTCTTCCACCGCTGCTTTGCGCAAGAGGTCACCACAGTCATTTTTGTGGTTTGATCGGCCTCGTGTTGCGCTCCGAGTCCTCCTCCTTCATCGCCTTGTGGTGCTTCCTTCGCCGTCCCTGGCACCTGTGACTGTCCCGTGACGGTTTGTTCCGAAGCCTGACTGCCCTGGGAGGTCCTCCCGCCACCAGCATGCACTCCACCCGCTGCCTGCTCGGATGCGTCGGAGCGTGGGGATGCTGTGCCTGCAGATTGCCCTCCGCCCAAAGACTCCGGTCCAATTGCACGCATCCGAGCAGCAGACGCGCTGCCAGTGCCGGATGGAATGCAAGTGCCACTCCGCAATGGGTCGCTGCTGGATTGGTCCTGTCTCGTCGGTGCAGTGAGTGGTCCTCCCGAGGTGGGATTGGGGTCCTCACCCGCGGTATTTCCTCCACCCTCCTCGTCTTCCTTGTCTGCTTGACTGCTATTTTTTTCAGAGTTCACATTCCCCTTCGTCCAGAGCCACCGGCCACGGGCCCACCTTCCGCAGCCATCACACCCCGCGCGTGCCCAGCAGTCACCGCGCCATCACCCGCGGCCGCACACGCACCCCGTCGCAGCAGCCCTCGCTCACACGCACGAGCAGCTGCACATCACTGCAGGAGCCAACAGGACGCAGAGCACACGGCCAGTCATCATCACGAACAGTGGAGTCGCCTAACGCTGCGGAGCCAACCTGCGATAGCACGAGAAAAACAAAGGGAGACACGGCCGCTACACTACGCACAGCCACCGCACAGCAACAAATGGCAGCACCCCAGCAGCAGCGCACACACCACGAGACAGATGGAATCAGTACGATTGCAGAGCTCGCACACCGCCCCGCAAACCACAAGTTTAAAAAGCAATAAAAACAATAATTAAAAAACAATAATTAAAAAAGAAAAACAAACCCAGGGCTCCAGTGCGCATGCTTATGAGTGTGTCCGGGCTGCGTTCAACGTGGCGGATGCGGAGCACAACGCGGAGCACACAGCACGGCAGCAGAAGCAAGTGAAGCAAAACACAATCATTATTTCCTCTTATTTTATACAGTGAACCACAACACACACGCACAAATCCCCGCGGTTGAGTGCTGGAACGCACAGCCCGCATACACCTCTTCAGCCCACAGCGGTGTACGCCAACGCGGATACGGCGAGCACCAGCGGGGCACACACCCACGCAGAGCTGCTGAGGCTGCCGTCCATTTCGCGAAGACGTGACGGTGCGCGGGTGGTCGTCGTGGTTGGCGCCTCTGTAGTCGTAGTACTGGGTGCCTCTGTTGTAGTGGTGGTCGTCGTGGTTGGTGGCTGTGTTGTGGTGGTCGTCGTAGTTGGTGGTTTTGTTGTGGTCGTCGTCGTGGTTGTCTGAGCAGAAGTTTCAGACTCCTTACTTTTTTGTTTCGCGGATGTTTCAGTGCGACTTTTTGTCCCTGACTTGTCTTCCGTACTTTTTCCTTTTACCTTATTGGGATCATCAGTTGATTTCGGATCTGGAAAGGTCAAACCTCCTCCCTCTCTGCCATCATCTCCCGGATTTGCAACGGGCCCCAAACCTGACAACTCTGGCTGACCGGCCGTCGGGGTTGTTGGCTGTGGTGGAGGGCGCGGTGAAAGGGGAGCGGCTTCAGCTTCAGTCTCAGTCTCTCCCACGCACACGGACGGGCAGCAGCACAGGGCAAGCACCAACAGGGCGCACAGCAGACGGCACGTCGTCATCATCGTGAGTGTGGTCGTTCAGTGGTGTGGAGTTGATCTGCACAGTGAGGGACATGGAGAGCAGCAGGGGAGACGAGAGGTGCGGCAGACACACACAGAGGGCACACCACATGAGGAGAGGGCAGCAGCCAGGCATGCACCGTACGCCGCACACCACGCACGACACACACTCCAATCCACGGCAGCAGGCACACACACAGCCCTGCCGCAACACCAACACACAGATGGAGGAGGGAGAAGCAAGCAGGAGCGGCACACAAGGCTCCACCGCATGCACATACGGCGTGAGCGGTCCGTCGTGCCGGCACCCCTCACGGAGGGTACGCACACACACAAGAAGAGGTGCAGCGCACACAGCAACACAAAGGCAAAGTAACAATAAAAAAGAAAATCCCCGCACACCACGTGAATTGTTGGCCCACGGGAAGTGCAGCCAATATTCATCACAAAAGCAACTCAGTTGCCCTTGACCCTCGTTCATATTCAGCGCAAGGAATGGAAGAGTGCAGGAAAACATTTATTCGTATTTCTTTTTGAATGTTGGCAGATGTCCGTATATGTTGTTTTTGCGGAGGGCAAACCTTCATGCCTGGGTCGTGTGTCGGGAATTCCTGCAGGGTGCACAATTATGTTTTTTCCCACCTGTGAATGTTTCTTGTGTTGGTGCAGCCAATAATTCGGTTTGTGTTGTTCCTGCTTCCCTTTGGTAAAGTGCTGCAATAAAGAATAATCTTCTGAGCCGCTGGCCAAGTTCTGAGTTTCTCAATAATAGAAACCAAACAAGATAGAAATAAGTGAGGGATCAACGGAATAATAGTGGATTCACCACACCCTAAAAGGCTTAACACCGGGTGACTGTATGTTTATATACCATCCGTCAGCCACAATCGTGGCCCGCTCACTCTATTCGGATGGGATACATATATTTATGTATTACTTACGAGGTGGCAGACTTTTGGGGCCCTGCAGCCACAAGACCCCGCCGCGTGGTGGAACCAAAAGGGGGCGGGTGAGACGGTAAAATAAAAATAAAAAATATCCGGCCGCTGTCGGCTCCCTAAAGTCGTGGCCTCCCCAAAACTCATACGGTAGAAAAGTGTCGTAAAGACGTGTATATTCGTTTTGTCAGGGTATATATATATATACATTAAGGCAGCCGGCTCTCCCGCGATCATTCTCTACGCAGGCTCCTAAAGGGCCCAAACACACCCACAAGACGCCCAGCAAGAAAAAAGGGAAACACGGCGTGACTGACACGACTCAAAGTCATGTTTCTAAAACAAAGTGTGGATGATTCCGTCGACGCCACACCCGCACCATATGCCATCAACGCCTCCACGGCAATAATCCTGCAGCGTGCGGAGAGGACGTTTCACGAGTGCATTATTGGCGGAGCCAAACAACTGTACCGTCAGCAGATGGCAGCGAGCGGCAGGGGAAAGTGAAGGTGGTGGGACTGTTGGGGAGGGTCTATGCGCAGTGTCCCTCACAAATACGAGGCGGGTGAAGTGAAACACACTCGTCTGGACGTCACCGGCCACCAAGATGCATTGCTCCCTGCTGTAAATATTGATGAGCTCGAGGCTGGGGCAACTACTCGCAATGCGTGAAAGTGTCTTCCTGCACTGACGCTGCGATTCACACTAGACGGGCAACTTCAGAACAGTCGATCCCCAGCAGTAAAATGCAGCTGGCAGTGGCGCTGTGGATTCTCAATTCCCCTGGCAACGGAGGGCGGAGAAGACAACTGGTCTCCCCAGCTGCGCGGCATCCATCCATTCACTCTGTGCGTCCGGAGTGCCACGCAGCCACCCTTGAGAGATGCAGCGGACAGACCCCCTTATTTTCGCCTCGATCCGTCGACTAAGACCTTCGCGGTGCTGTCGGCACACCCCGAAGTCTCCCTCGTGCCAGCCAAGCAAAAGACGCACCCGTTGAGCATCGTCACGTGCATCGATGGCCACGCAAATAAATACCCACCGCAACGCAAAGTGTTTCTTATTGGGCAGCAAAAGAAAACTCGAGGCGGCGGCCTGGACAACGCACAACAAATCACACGCCAGGCAACGCTGAGATACATGCGAAAGGGCCAACGCGGGATCAGCAGCACAGCCATTCGAGAGCTGTTGCGTGAACTCCACGGCAAATGGATCAGCCTCAACGCATGGGGCATTAATTACGGCGGGTGACGGCGCGAAGGCCAACGGTTCCGCAAGGCCGGGAATTGTGGGGACGGCGTTCAAACCCTCCCGGGATTAGTGTACAAAGACACGCAAATAATCCGCCCCTCGGTGCAAACCGTCACCATAATCCTCATCGCTCTCTTTGCCGTCATTCGTATTGCCACACTCAGAGCCGGTGAGGGAAGGTGCTGCCATGATGATTGTGACATCACACTGAATGAAACAAAACAATGCCTCGAAGTGGGCCGAGTGCAGGCATCCAGTCAGGCAGCGACACGCCGCACTTCTTAGCAATGTACGAAGCAAAGGCAACGAAACAGCTTTCATCCGCCATCGTAATCTCGTCCAGCAGGTTCGCCCTTTTATTCCTCCTTCCTTCGGCGCCTCGTCCCTCTCCAAGACACCAGCTGCCGCTGCCGTGGACCACGCTCCTGCCGCAATCACTCTCAAAAAGAGGGAGGAGTATGTGGATGTGTCGAGAGCACAGCGACTGTCATCGCCGGAGAAGGCCATCGTGGGACCGTCCGTCACGCGTCAGCACACAGCAAGCAACGCACGCATCCGGCAGAGCAAAAACATTCTTGCAGAACACTGTGCAAATACATGTGCGTGTGGGTGTCTGTTGGAGAAGCCGAAAAGAGGAGCACAGGGAGGCACATCAGCACGGCAAGAGGCACAGCTGGAGAGCGGCGTTTCATGCGGTACGGACACAACCTCAACAACCACGCACAGTGGCAGCAAACACAAGAGCAAAAAAACAAAACAAAACAAAACGAAAGAAAACACGGCGGCAGGGTGTGGCTGTGTGTGTGGCGCTGCGGGTGTCTGCCAGCCCTGGCCGCAAAGAAAACAAAACAAGAGGGAAGAAATGTGTGCTCCGCCCCACAGGCCCTCGTCGCACGCCCACACGTCACGGCTCCCTCAGCGCGCCGTTCGTCGAGGCCCCTCCTCATGCGTGCAGCAGGCGAGGCGCACAGGGCCGTCGTCATGAGCGTGTCGGTGGGTGTGCGAGTGGAGCAGTTGGGCGGAAACACACGGCACCCCTCGCAGGAAGAGTGCAGCAACAAACAATTAAAGAGGGAAGAGTAGAAAAGAAAACACGTCCATAGTGATTGCCCCCCAAAAGCAAAAGAAAAAAAGAGATGGGGGAGTGAGAGAAAAGAACAACAAAAAGTAAAAACAAACACAAAACGAAAGAAAAAAATCACACAACCAGAAAAAACAAAAAAACATTTAAAATATTTTAAAGCAAACAGCAAAGAAAAATTAAAAACACTTAAAACAATCATACGAGGACAAAAAACAGAAACGGTTACGGTGCTCCGCCCATGCAGCCAGGCAGGACGGCAGCGGTGCGTGTCGTGCAAAAGAGAGCACCAGCGGGCCTGCATGGGTGTGCATGCATATATACAATGGGCACATTATGTGTGTGCTTCGTGGGGTGAGGTGAGGGCGAGAGTCCATGCAAGGGGACACACACACAGAGAGAGAAGGAAGAGTGTGTGTGCGGGCGGTGCACGGCTCTCTCTCCCTCACTCTCACGCGGCCACCACCGCAGCAGCCGCACACGCAACAACAACAAGAAGAAGCAAAAGAGGGGAGGTGGTGTGGGAGATTGCGGTGCTGCCGTCACTGTCGCCTGTCGTCGCCGTTGTAGTTTTCATGGCTGCGG